GAACCAGTGGCATCTACAGAACATGAAGAACCAGTGGCATCTACATCTACAGAACATGAAGAACCAGTGGCATCTACAGAACATGAAGAACCAGTGGCATCTACAGAACATGAAGAACCAGTGGCATCTACAGAACATGAAGAACCAGTGGCATCTACATCTACAGAACATGAAGAACCAGTGGCATCTACAGAACATGAAGAACCAGTGGCATCTACAGAACATGAAGAACCAGTGGCATCTACATCTGCAGAACATGAAGAACCAGTAGCATCTACAGAACATGAAGAACCAGTGGCATCTACAGAACATGAAGAACCAGTGGCATCTACAGAACGTGAAGAACCAGTGGCATCTACAGAACATGAAGAACCAGTGGCATCTACAGAACGTGAAGAACCAGTGGCATCTACATCTACAGAACATGAAGAACCAGTGGCATCTACAGAACATGAAGAACCAGTGGCATCTACAGAACGTGAAGAACCAGTGGCATCTACAGAACATGAAGAACCAGTGGCATCTACAGAACATGAAGAACCAGTGGCATCTACATCTACAGTAGATTAAACACTTTTAAAGCCATTCCCCTTGTCGAGTGTACACGCCGTACAACAAGCTTGGAATCGACTCACGAACAGCACCTCTGGAACCTAACTCGTTCGTAAGTAGCGGAGTCCCTCCACAGTTGTTGTAGGCTTGCGAGGCCACGCTTCGAGCGGCGGACAGCAGTGCTGAAAAACCCCCCGTTGTTGTGCTGTACTTCCTATGCTCCCACGTCCACTGCTCCCTCCCCGCCTTCACCGAACGGGCACGTGACCAGCGGCAGGGGGTTAAGTACGGTGAAGCGATCCCCACTGACGCACGGTGTGGGGGAGGCGCCCACCCAGCAGTGGATTGACGCGGGGGCGTGGTACCTGCGCACGTTGAAGGTTCACATCGTCATGAGCTGGTCAATCCACTGCTGGATGAAGGCCTCCTACCACCCAAAAGCTGCCACTGCTGCCAAACTCGCGTGATCCCACGATGCAACCACACACACACACGTGTACACACACACACACGTGTACACACGAATACACGTGTACACACGTGTACACAGACACACACACACGGCGCGTGTACATACACACGAGTGTACACACACACACACGTGTACACACGAACACGCGTGTGTACACGTGTACACACGAACACGCGTGTACACGTGTACACACGAACACACGCGCGTACACGTGTACACACACACACGCGTGTACACGTGTACACACGAACACGCGTGCGTACATACACACGCGTGTACACGTGTACACACACACACACACGTACACACACGTGTACACACACACACACACGTGTACACCCGTGTGTGGTCTTGGCAATATGACTACACGAAGGCTGGAAAACGCGCGTGAAGCTATACACAGGAATAATGCAGAGAGTCATAATAACACGATAACATTGTGCTTACGCACACACACACACAACCTCAAATATAAACACAAACACGCACGCTTGTATAAATACACACTCGCATAATAATTATTATCGTATACGCACAGCCACGCAAAGAATGACAGGACGTACACTCACACGCGCACACACACACGCGCGCACACATACACACTCGCCCACACACTTCGACTGACACCTCTCCTCGGATCCAACCTCGACATATCTCCCACATAGGCAGCAACCCTGGTGGGTGGACGAGTGAGTCGGTGTGTGGGTGGGCGAGTGAGTCGGTGTGTGGGTGGGCGAGTGAGTCGGTGTGTGGGTGGGCGAGTGAGTCGGTGTGTGGGTGGGCGAGTGGGTGGGCGAGTGGGTGGGCGAGTGAGTCGGTGTGTGGGTGGGCGAGTGAGTCGGTGTGTGGGTGGGCGAGTGAGTCAGTGTGTGGGTGGGTGAGTGGGTGGGCGAGTGAGTCGGTGTGTGGGTGGGCGAGTGAGTCGGTGTGTGGGTGGGTGAGTGAGTCGGTGTGTGGGTGGGCGAGTGAGTCGGTGTGTGGGTGGGCGAGTGAGTCGGTGTGTGGGTGGGCGAGTGAGTCGGTGTGTGGGTGGGCGAGTGAGTCGGTGTGTGGGTGGGCGAGTGAGTCGGTGTGTGGGTGGGTCGAGTGAGTCGGTGTGTGGGTGGGCGAGTGAGTCGGTGTGTGGGTGGGCGAGTGGGTGGGCGAGTGGGTGGGCGAGCGGGTGGACGAGCGGGTGGGTGACTAATTAAATAAGTTAATGGGTGAGCGAGTTATTTATTGGGCGAGTTGGTGAATGCGTGGGTGAATGTGTGGACGAGTGAGTGGCTCGGTAAATTAATGAATGAGTGGATGGGTAAGTAATTGAATGGGTGGGTGAGTAATTGAGTCAAAGGGTGAAGTGGGTGAGTGAGTGGATAAGTGAGTGGATGAGTGAGTGGATGAGTGAGTGAATGAGTGAGTGGATGAGTGAGTGGATGAGTGAGTGAATGTGTGAGTGAATGTGTGAGTGAGTAGATGAGTGAGTGTATGAGTGAGTGGACTAGTGAGTGGATGAGTGAGTGGACAAGTGAGTGGACGAGCGAGTGGTAGGACCACTATATTTTCCCACTGTACACCAAACCCGCAATTATGTCTCAGTCAGCCTAGGACTGTTACCACCAAAACGGTACCACGTCACAGTTAGAAATCAATTCCTTCCTCCCGAAAAGTCAGATTCCCGTTCCAGAATTGTCCGAGTTAAACTCAGCCAACAGGCAGCAACTCCAACACTCTCTTTTAACACTCTCTATTAACACTCTCTATTAACACACGGAACACACCACTGCCACCACCACAACCACCGCAGAGAATCTCACACTCACTCGTTTATAAAAAGATTCTTCTGGTGTTGACGTGCACTCGCACGCTCGCTCGCTCGCAAGCACTCGGGAAGAGTTCGATTCCCTGCCGCGGCCGTGTAGCCGACACAGGCAGTTTGGGGAAAGTACCGTTAGCGAGCACCTATTAAGGCCGGAACGACGCACCCATACGGGGTAAGGCCCAATGATCTGCTACCTAGCTCTTTTTCAGAAGCAACCGGGCCATCACAAATGACTGTTCCAACGAAGCGGGATTATCATCGCCGTCGTCGTCGTCATCATCATCATCGCATGCACATTTATAGCAGCAGCCAAATTCTCTAAACGTCGATTCTAAATGCTGGTGGGGAAAAACCGGAGGGCCCGGAGAAAAATCCACGTGACCACGGAGCGACACGCAAGCTCCAAATAGACAGCAGCAGCAGGTGTATAAGGGTCGGGATGGAACCCACGAACTCCTGTACACCAGGCGAGGGAGCTAACATCTCCTAGCCACCGTGATGATGATGAGAGAGACACGCAAGCTCCAAATACACAGCAGCAGCAGCAGCAGCAGGTGTATAAGGGTCGGGATGGAACCCACGACCTCCTGTACACCAGGTGAGGGAGCTAACATCTCCTAGCCACCGCGATTTCTCCTGCACGATGGGGCGTTGTGGCCTGTGTGCCAAGCCCGACTGCTTCTGTCTCCCCGGTGCCGAAGTTTCCGCACCGCCGCATCGGTTATACAATCAAGGGGGGGCCCGCAGGCACGCCGCTTTAAAATCTCGCTCACCCACCGATGTTAGCCCCGGTTGGGAATCGAACTCGGCTCACTGGGCTTCGTAGCGCAGCGTGCCAACCACTGCGCCACCGCTCCTCTACATATAGACACACACCGCACGTCATCTGGCAAAAACAACCCCCACACCTCTTTGCTAGTGGTTACCGATCGGTAACGCTGTGGTGGTAGTGGTTACAGGTCGGTAACACTGTGGTGGTAGTGGTTGCCGTACGGTAACACTGCTACACACACCATCACACACACACCAACAACCCATCACAGTCACTGCACCCACAGTGTTACACACGGAGATGTTCTCTCGCACGTATTAATCTAAATAAATATACTATCACTCTCCCCTCTCTCATTTACACTCTTCCTGCTCTCTCCACCATTCTCTCCATCGCTCCGCACTCTGTGTCTCTCTCTCATTCACACTCTCTCTCTCTCCCCACCCTCTCTCCGTCTCTCTCTCTCTCATTCACACTCTCTCTCCGTCTCTCTCCCTCTCATTCACACTCTCTCTCTCCGCTCTCTCCCCACCCTCTCTAAGTCTCTCTCCCTCGCATTCACACTCTCTCTCTCTCCCCACCCTCTCTCCGTCTCTCCCTCTCATTCACACTCTCTCTCTCCGCTCTCTCCCCACCCTCTCTAAGTCTCTCTCCCTCGCATTCACACTCTCTCTCTCTCCCCACCCTCTCTCCGTCTCTCCCTCTCATTCACACTCTCTCTCTCCATCTCTCTCTCCCCACCCTCTCTCCGTCTCTCTCCCTCTCATTCACACTCTCCGCTCTCTCCCCACCCTCTCTCCGTCTCTCTCCCTCTCATTCACACTCTCTCTCTCCACTCTCTCCCCACCCTCTCTCCGTCTCTCTCCCTCTCATTCACACTCTCTCTCTCCGCTCTCTCCCCACCCTCTCTCCGTCTCTCTCCCTCTCATTCACACTCTCTCTCTCCGCTCTCTCCCCACCCTCTCTCCGTCTCTCTCCCTCTCATTCACACTCTCTCTCTCTCCCCACCCTCTCTCCGTCTCTCTCCCTCTCATTCACACTCTCTCTCTCCGCTCTCTCCCCACCCTCTCTCCCTCTCATTCACACTCTCTCTCTCCGCTCTCTCCCCACCCTCTCTCCATCTCTCTCCCTCTCATTCACACTCTCTCTCTCCGCTCTCTCTCCGCTCTCTCCATCTCTCTCCCTCTCATTCACACTCTCTCTCTCTCCCCACCCTCTCTCCGTCTCTCTCCCTCTCATTCACACTCTCTCTCTCTCCTCACCCTCTCTCCGTCTCTCTCCCTCTCATTCACACTCTCTCTCTCTCCGCTCTCTCCCCACCCTCTCTCCGTCTCTCTCTCTCTTACTCTCCCTCCCACACGCTCACCTCCGTAACCCACCACCCACCACCCCCCCCCCCCCCATCACATGAGCCACTGCTGCTTCTCCTTCCTCAGCCTCATGGCCCACTTCCTGGTGAGCGACAGGTACATGTCGGGGGGCCCCGGCAGGTAGTCGAGGTAGGGGGCGCCCCCCCCGGCCCCCGCCCCCCCGTCGCGGCCCCTCCCCTTGCGGGGGATGGCCGTCTCGATCTGTGTGCCCTCGTGCCACTCGTTGAAGGAGGTGATGGAGATGATCTCCGGGCGCGTGAGCAGGGCGGCGCGGAACGCGGCCTCGTAATACCTGCACGGAAAGGCAAAGGCACCCCACGTAGCCTCACGTAAGGAACGAGACGGGAGGACTTCTCCACAAATCTGCCCGTCGCCTGATGAAGCCGGTCGTGATCACATGGCGGAAACGTCGCACTCAGATGGTAAATGTCGTGGCTTGGCTCTCCAGCACACCGGTGTGCTGTACTAGTATACTACGCTATACACTACACTATACACTACACTTTACACTACTACACTATACACTACACTATACACTACTATACACTACATTATACACTATACACTACTATACACTACACTATACACTACACTTTACACTACTGCACTTAACACTACTACACTATACACTACTATATACTACACTATACACTACTATACACTACTGCACTTTACACTACTACACTATACACTACTATACACTACTATACACTACACTATACACTACTACACTACTATACACTGCACTTTACACTACTACACTATACACTCCTATACACTACACTATACACTACTATACACTACACTATACACTACTATACACTACACTATACACTACTATACACTGCACTTTACACTACTACACTATACACTACACTATACACTACACTTTACACTACTACACTATACACTACTATACACTACTACACTATACACTACTATACACTACTACACTATACACTAATATACACTACTACACTATACACTACTATACACTACTACACACTACTATACACTGCACTTTACATTACTACACTATACACTACTATACACTGCACTTTACATTACTACACTATACACTACTATACACTACACTATACACTACACTTTACACTACTACACTATACACTACACTTTACACTACTACACTATCCACTACTACACTATACACGAGTATACACTGCACTTTACACTAACGGGTGAAATAACAGGTGAAGGAATGAACGGGTGAATGAACGGGTGAACGAACGGGTGAATGAATGAGTGGGTGAAAGGAATGGGTAAATAAATGACTCAACGGGCGAATGACTGCCCGGGTGAACGAGCGGCTGAAATAACAGGTGAATGGACAAGGTAAAATGAACGAACGGGTGAAGGAACGAGTGGGTGAACGAATGGGCGGAATGAATGAACGAGCGGGGCGGGGTCCCGAACCTGCCGTGGACGCGCCCGCGAGCGTTCTGCTGGTTCCAGGGCCGCACGCTGGCGTCGGCGTAGCCGGGCCCCACGCTGGGCACGAAGAGGAGGCCGTTGGCGTCGCAGAACGCCTTGAGCGAGCGCCAGTTGTGGTGCGACGAGCCGAACGAGAAGCCGTTGGTGGCGAAGTATGTGTAGAGGCCGTCGAAGCCGGCGCGGGCGATCTCGCCCAGGTGGCGCTGCTCCACCACCAGTGCTGGGGGGGGGGGGGGGGGGGGGGGGGAGGTGTAGCGGCAGTGCCGGATTAAACTAAGTGCGGGGCCTGTAGCACAAATATTATAAAGGGGCCCTGAATGGTTTCAATACAAATGTTTAAGTTGTATAGTAAAGTAATTTTATTTATTCATTTGCTATACAACCGGATAATACGACAAATCGCTAACATTAAACACCCGGTCGTTCATAAAAAGTTAAAGGCGGTATAGTACTATAGTAATAGAGCAAGTGCAGAATCACCGAACCGGAATTGATAGCTTGAAGGCGTTTAGCGCGGGGCACTTGAAAGTGTGGGGCTCGTAGCTACTACTACATATGTAGCTACTTGTGCTACTAGGATCATCTGGCACTGGGTAGCGGTGGTGATGGCGGAGAGATCTTCCCCGCAAGCTCACCCGCCCGCGAGCATCTATCAATCGCTTGCCCCCTCACTCGCCCCCCACCCTCACCCTCACCCCCACCCCTCACCCCCCCCCCCGCTCACCCAGGAAGACGGCGTCGTACTCTGTGCCCCTCACGCTCTGCGCGCCCCCCGGGGTGAGGATCTCGGCCCAGGCGTCGGGCGCCGTCAGGTACGAGTCGTAGACGTACAGCAGCGGCAGAGCCTGCCCGGAGCTCGTGCGGTAGCGGTGGAACGCCGGGTGGTTGCCGTACCTGGCGGGCGACGCGGGGGGGGGAGGGTGGGTGGGGGGGGAGTGGGTGGGTGAGGTGCACCAATTTTAAGTCGTCCACGCAGAACCGTCGGCGGAAGCCCCTCAACAGGAACGCCAGCGCTGGATTCTTGCGGCACCGCCTGGACGTCTGTGGGAAAAGAGCTTTATAGCTCATCGGATTCCTCCAGCGTCAATACCGATTCCGATTCCGGAACGCTCCTCCTTCCGGTATTTGGAAGCCACTGGAGCTATGCACTTTTACAGAATCTGGACTGACAATCTCATTTCTTTACAATTGATTGTTGTTGCTGTTGTTGTGTTTAGTTTGTGGTCCTTCCGCCCGCACCTCCAATTAGCGCGGTTGGCTACGCACGGTGCGAAAGAAGTTAAACGTACACTTACATCCTACTATACACTACATACTACACTACTATACACTACACTGTACACTACTAGACGCTAACACTACTGTACACTTCACTTGACACTACTCTACACCACTATACTACATTGAAAACGAATTTATTTACAACTGCTTGTTGTTGTTGAGTTTAGTTTGTGGTCCTTCCCTCCGCACTTTCGATTCGCGCGGTTGGCTACGCACGGTGCACAAGAAGTTCAACATGCACGTCCAGTAGAAACGCCCGGCCTGGCGCTGCCTCCATCAACCATCCTTCAAAATAATAAAAACACAACACATCCTGAAGCAGAGTGCCAGTGCCGGACACAGCAGTCACCATTTGCCAATGCGGTTTGCGAACTTTGACCACTGCCCTGCGTAGTTAATCGATAAGCTCAATGTTTGCACGCCATTTCAACGATGGACCACTGCCACTAACTACTACCTCCGTGCGGTTGTTATCTTGGTGTGGTCTGGGACTATTTTTGTTTCTCTTGTGCGTGACCTTGGCCCAAGCTTGATAAATCGGGACTCGTGCAAATTATTCATTCATCCTCTTTGGTTATTTCGGTAAAGTAACGTAGGTATCAAATGAAATAAATCAAAATGAATAAAACAAATTGAATAAAACCTGATGAAGGACGCTAGTGTTGCGCCCGAAACGTCGTGAATTATTTTATTTTCTACCTACTACGTGACTTTACCGAAAGAACCAAAGAGTATGGATTCCTGCAGTCACGAAAGCTTCAAATCAAGATATTCATTCATCGTTTATTAATATGTTTGTGACTATATTTTTATTTAAAGCTTTCGTGACTGCAGGGATTTATATTCTTGGTTCTTTCGGTAAAGTCACCACATAGAAGGGAAACAATAAAATAATAAAAATATAAAACAATAAAATTCTCACGACGTTTCGACTGCAACAAAAGCAATCATCATCAGGTGTGAAAACTACAGCATGAAAAATTTGAAAAAAGTGGCGTTTTTTTTAAAAATGTGGTTTTCACACCTGATGATTGCTTGTGTTGCAGTCGAAACGTAGTGATAATTTTATTGTTTTATATTTTTATTATTTTATTGTTTCCCTTCTACGTGATTTTACCGAAAGAACCAAGAATATGTTTGTGACTGTCGTGTTTTCTGGTCTCGTTTGTTGTTGCAACGCTCTGACCCCGTGCCCCCCATACTGGACATAGCTTTATAGCTATTCTGATTCCTTCTCCTGCAGTCTAAATAAATCTTCTGATTCTCAACCAGGCTGGAAAAGGTTGGCAGAGAGAGAGACAGAGAGACATTGAGACAGAGAGAGAGACATCTTCGTTCGCTCATCGATCCGCTCGCTCACACATTCCTTCAGTCACCTGTTTGGTCACCCGTTCGGTCACCCGTTCGGTCACCCGTTCAGTCACCCGTACGGTCACCCGTTCGGTCACCCGTTCAGTCACCCGTACGGTCACCCGTTCGGTCACCCGTTCTGTCACCAGTTCAGTAATTCACCAATTCATTTACCCATTCATTCAGTCACCCGTTCAATCACCCTTTCGGTCACCCTTTCGGTCACCCGTTCATTCACCCGTTCAGTCACCCGTTCAGTCACCCGTTCAGTCACTCATTCATTCACCCGATCAGTCACCCATTTGGTCACCCGTTCACGGATGGACGAATGAGTCAACAAACGGCTGAATGAATGTTCGTTATTTAAGTTAAGCTTGTTTACCCAGGAGAGTCTCATCATCATCATCTCTATCTCTTTCACGAGGATCCTGCCAAGTTATCCACAGTAGTGGTGGGGGGGTGCTGCTGCTCCTGCTGTTCCGTACGATCTCAAATGAGCCGTTTTTTTTTTGGCAAGCGCTGGGATGTTGGCCAACAATGGTCGTGACAATTGCACGTGGGATGACTTCTCTGCTCAGGGAGAAAACCCAAAGGTGTGTGCAGCAAACATGAGCAGAATCGGAATCAGTATATTTAGTTATACTGCAGGAGGGGGAATCCGAAGAGCTATAAAGCTCTTTTTTTGAACAGATGTCCCAGCAGGGGCATGGGATCAGAACGTGACCACAGCAAATGATGCAAACGCACGATAAGAGAGCAGAGTGTAGATTAGGTAAACAAATCACTTGAAAAAAATAAACACACGAATGAAACCAAAACTATTTGTTTTCTTAACAGGCAAAGCCCGCTGAGCTGCAACGTAAGAAGAAGCGACCTGCCCATCACAGATGATAGGATTGATAGCCCAACAAAGTGGGATCATCATCACGTGAACATGTATAGCAACAAAATAATGCGTGTTTATTTATATATACGACTACATTGCCCATACTAATTGCCCATAGACTTACATTGCCCAGAGACTAACATTGCCCATAGACTAACATTGCCCAGAGACTAACATTGCCCATAGTCTTCCATTGCCCAGAGACTAACATTGCCCATAGACTAACATTGCCCAGGGACTTACATTGCCCAGAGACTAACACTGCCCATAGACTAACACTGCCCATACACTAACAGTGCCCACAGACTCAACATTGCCCATAGACTAACACTGCCCATAGACTAACACTGCCCATAGACTAACACTGCCCATAGACTAACACTGCCCATAGACTAACACTGCCCATAGACTAACACTGCCCACAGACTCAACATTGCCCATAGACTAACACTGCCCACAGACTCAACACTGCCTATAGACTAACACTGCTCACAGACTAACACTGCCCATAGACTAACACTGCTCACAGACTAACACTGCCCATACACTAACACTGCCCACAGACTCAATATTCCCATAGACTAACACTGCCCATAGACTAACACTGCTCACAGACTAACACTGCCCATAGACTAACACTGCCCATAGACTAACACTGCTCAAAGACTAATACTGCTCACAGACTAACACTGCCCATAGACTAACACTGCCCACAGACTAACACTGCTCACAGACTAACACTGCTCACAGACTAACACTGCCCATACACTAACACTGCTCACAGACTAACACTGCCCATAGACTAACACTGCCCACAGACTAACACTGCCCATAGACTAACACTGCTCACAGACTAACACTGCCCATACACTAACACTGCCCATAGACTAACACTGCTCAAAGACTAACACTGCTCACAGACTAACACTGCCCACAGACTCAACATTGCCCATAGACTAACACTGCCCATAGACTAACACTGCTCACAGACTAACACTGCCCATAGACTAACACTGCTCACAGACTAACACTGCCCATACACTAACACTGCCCACAGACTAACACTGCCCATAGACTAACACTGTCCATACACTAACACTGCCCATAGACTAACACTGCCCATAAACTAACACTGCCCATACACTAACACTGCCCACAGACTAACACTGCCCATAGACTAACACTGCCCATAGACTAACACTGCTCACAGACTAACACTGCTCACAGACTAACACTGCCCATCGACGCGAAGCCAATAAGTCACTTCGTTGAGCTACAATTTGTGACAGCCAGGTCGCTTCTGAAAACCAGCTGCTTATCTCAGTGGGCCCTTACCTGTTAAAAACATAAACAAAGGTACGACTCACCTATCGATGATGTACTTGACATCGTTGCGGACCGATCGCTCGTCCCTGTTCTTGTACGGCTCGATGTGAAACGTCACCTGCAACCAGACAGACAAAGATGGTCACTGCATCACGCTCTATCAGATGCCATATACACTACACGATACACTACAATATACACTACTCTACACACTACTCTATATACCACTCTATACACTACACGTTACACTACCCACTACTCTATACACTACACTATATACTACCCTTTCGGCTGGCCGTCGAACAAAGACAGTGGTCACCGCACTGCGAGAGTTAAAATGCGCTTCGGCAGCCGTCTGGAACGCTCTTCCTTGCGATGTTAAGAAGCAGCTGGAGCCCTGCTACTTTGAAATCATCGTCATCTAGATTGACAAACTCATTTCTTTACAACTTGCTCCTTGGTCTTTTGTTTAGTTTGCTGTCCTTCCCCCGCACCTCGGTTGTCTACGTATGATGCAAACGTTGAACGTGCAGCCTGCTCTCCTGCAATGCGGTAGTAGTTGCGTTTCCTGAAGGTCACCGTGTTATATAATGAATATACAGCATGGGCTGAAACCACGGTCCGCGATAACGTGCGTGAGATGCGCACGCAGGGCTGAACAAAGACTGAGGACGCGCGGTGGGTAGCATCTAGAAGCATCCAGCAGCATCCCAATGCCTTCTTGTGACGCTCGGTGGCCTCTAGAAGCATGCAGCAGCATCCCAATTCCTTCTTGTGACGCTGGGTAGGATCTAGAAGCATCCAGCAGCACCCCAAAGCCTTTTGCTGTGTGACGCTAGGTAGGATCTAGAAGCGTCCAGCAGCACCCCAAGGCCTTTTGCTGTGTGACGCTAGGTAGGATCTAGAAGCGTCCAGCAGCACCCCAAAGCCTTTTGCTGTGTGACGCTAGGTAGGATCTAGAAGCGTCCAGCAGCACCCCAAAGCCTTTTGCTGTGTGACGCTAGGTAGGATCTAGAAGCGTCCAGCAGCACCCCAAAGCCTTTTGCTGTGTGACACTAGGTAGCATCTAGAAGCATCCAGCAGCATCCCAATGCCTTCTTGTTTATGCTCGGTGGCCTCTAGAAGCATTCAGCAGCATCCCTATGCCTTTGTTTCGCGACGCTAACCTCGAGGCAGCCATACGTCCGCTTATCCCCACCCGCGCGACCGACCGTAGTTCCGTTCACTTGATCACGCCGTACATCCGAATCGCATCCGTGCGAGAAACACAAAAAAAAAAACGCGCCCCCTAGTCCGACACCCATCGCGCCGTGCATCCGGGCGTCGTGACGATGCGACGTCACTCGGACAGCGGACCGTCCCCTCGCCGAAACCAAGGCAGCTCGAGCGTCGCGGCCGCCGTGCCGGGCTGCACCTTGAGCGCGTGGCGGTGAGCCGCGTCCAGCAGCATGGGCACGAGGTCGTCCACGGGGTCGCCGTTGTCGTCCTTCCTGCCGGGGGGGTACCACGAGAGCACGAGGACACCTGCGCCAAAACACGCGAAAGTCGGCGTGTAGCCTTCGACGGACTGTCGGGGGGGCGAGCGGTGCGCTAAGCGAGCGGCACCTATGAAGGCCGGCACGGTGCACGAGGGGGTGGGCCCGCCGCCTTTGTCTCCCCAGCTGGCGGTGTTTTTACCCACCGCACCCAGGTAACTCATTCGAGGCCGAGTCGACCTAGGGGAGAGGTCCAGGACCGGTTCAGATAATCGCCGCCGGTGTTGGCCGGCCGCGAGCGGGAATCAAACTCGGCACACCGGCACGCGCCCACCTCATGAGAGGAAGGTGTGGCCCACACGACGCCCGGCCGCCTTTGTCTCCCCAGTGCTGACGTTTAACACACCACAGCCGGTACTAATTGCTGGCCGAGAAGACGTAGCGGAGGCTCATTGGCAAGCTGAACGACTGAACGTCCGTCCAGTGCAATGACCGGGTGAATGACTGAAACTCTTCGCACGCGAATGAGAAGGACGTCTGAATGACTGACCACCCGTGCAAAACGATACAACTGAATTAATTCACACCCGTGTCATCGCTGTCCTTCCCCGCACCTCCAATTAGCACGGTTGGCTCTATGTACGGTGCAAAAGAAATTCATACCGTGTCAACCCATACGGTTTACCCCGTATTCTTGTCGAGGGAAATTTAATTTTCTGGCCCAATTGGTGTACAACCGTTTTCAATATGGGCAAAACAATGTTGTCTTTGTTTGTGTTTCTCCCATGTGATGGGACTTTGGAGGATGAACGTTGAGATTTCTAAGGGGCACGGGGTGACCAATAAGGTCTGAATTTATCTGTAATAAGGAAATTCTACGTATATACAACCACGGTCTATCCACTGCTAGTTAGAAGGCCTCCCCAAGTCTCCGTTACCTCTCAGGACGAGGCAATGAATGAGCCACGAGAGTCAATGAAGGACTCGGCACCCATACAAATGTACCGCTGAATGAATGAGCCATGTGCCCTCGACTGAACGAAACAACTCAACGACCGATTGAACGGCTGACTGAACGAAAGAACACCCATGGATGTGATTGAATGTGTGAGCGAATCGCCTCTTGACTGAACACCCATACAAAAGAGTGAACGAATGAACTCCCATGCGAATGAATACAAAAGCGAATGACATGCCTCCCCCCCCAACGAACGACTAAATACCCATACAAACGAATGAGTGAACAAATTAACACCCATGCGAATGATTTAATAAACGAGTGACATGCCCGTCATCCCCCCGACTGAACGAACGACTGAACACCCATTCAACTGAATGAGCGAACGAATGAACACCCGTGCGAATGATTTAGTAAGGGAGTGACACACTCCAACCCGACTGAACGAACGACTGAACGCGCACACAAACACCCATGCGACCGACTGAGTGAGCGAATCGACACTGAACACCCATACAAATGAATGAAGAGTGAACGAACGCATAAACACCCGTGCGAATGACTGAGTGGCATGCCCCCCCCCTCCCCCCTCGAATGAACACAACACTCGTGCGAGCGAATGAATGAGCGAACGAATGGACGAGCGAACGGATTGACAAACGACCAAATGAGCGAGCGAACGAATGAGGGAACGAGGGAACGAATGAGGGAACGAGGGAACGAATGAGGGAACGAGGGAATGCATTAACGAGACGACCGAATGAGCGAGCGAACGATGAAGCGAACGAATGAGCGAGCGAACGAGCGAACGAATGCGCGAAAGAACGACTGAAGGAACGAGATAATGAAGGAACGAGCGAATGAAGGAACGAGCGAATGAAGGAACGAGAATGAAAGAACGAGAGAACGAAAGAACGAGATAATGAAGGAACGAGCGAATGAAGGAACGAGAATGAAAGAACGAGAGAACGAAAGAACGAGAGAATGAAGGAACGAGAGAATGAAGGAACGAGAGAATGAAGGAACGAGAGAACGAATAAACAAGAGAATGAAGGAACGAGAGAATGAAGGAACGAGAGAACGAAAGTCGAGAGAATGAAGGAACGAGCGGGCGGACGGGCTCACCAGCAGCGGCGTGTCGCAGCTGCCGCATGTGTCCGTGCACGGCGGCGGGGTCGCGGGACGAGTAGGGGCCCAGCTCGGGGTAGAAGGAGGCGGCGACGTCTCCCGGCGGCTCGTGGGCCCCCGTGGGCCAGGCGGCCGCTACCTTCGCGTCCCAGTGGCGCAGCAGCGCGTGGTTCCAGTGCACGTAGCGACCGTTGAAGCGCGGGTTGCCGAACCAGGCGTAGTAGAAGATGTGCACGTCGTAATTCACGTCTCCTCCTCCTCCGTCGTTGTCGTTGTTGTTATCGTTGTTGTTGTTGCTGCTCCCATTCGCGCCGTCCCCCTTGACGAGTCCCGTAGATGCGGCCTGGTCGCCGTCGGAAGCCTCGGTCTCGCCCGGCGGCCCCGCCGGCAGAGGCGACGCGGGAGCCGGCCGAGCGGGAGCGGCGAGGGGGTCGCCTCCGCCAACGGCTCGGGGTCGCGGCATGAACTCCCACAAGGAGCCGCCGCCGCCGCCGGCCCCGTCGTCGTCGTCGTCGGGCCGTCGCGACACGGCCCCGAGCCCCATCATGACCCCCACGACGAAGACCACGAAGACCACCAGCGCCAGCCACTTCCTGCGTAGCCTCACCATAGCGGGTGGCTGGCCCGAGGCAGCGATCGGACGGGGCCGCTGCAGTTGCCAGAGAGCGCATTGGGGCGGAGGGGCGGTGGGCTGCGATTGGCTGGCCGGCGGGGGAAGGGGGCGGGGCGGCGGTGGGAAGGGGGCGGAGCGGCGGGAGGGGGGCGGGGTGGCGGGGGGGAAGGGGCGGGGCGGCGGGGGGAAGAGGCGGGGCGGCGGGGGGAAGGGGCGGGGCGGCGGGGGAAGGGGCGGGGCGGCGGGGGGAGATCTGGATTAAATGTTAAACCTTATGATGGGGATCAAACACTAACAATTTGGTCCGGATAGTTTTGTTAAACAATGGGATCCGGATCCTATGATCAGCAATGGAAACCGGATCCCATGGTGAACAATGGGAACCAGATCCAGGGTTAAACGGTAGAGTTAACGTGGCTAAAGTTAAAAATTTTGATTCAAAGCTTTCGTGACTGCAGAGATTCATATTCTTGGTTCTTTCGGTAAAGTCACGTAGAAGGGAAACAATAAAATAATAAAAATATTTTTTTTATTGTTTTATACTATGGCTAAAGTTGTTCGTGGTGGTGCGAGTGATGATGGCTGTGGTGGTTAATAATAGATTATCGTAGTGTTGGCGATGGTGGTGTTTTTTGTTGGTGTTGATCGTGGTGCCAGTATTTATCGGTGGTGTAGGGGCCGTCCATAAATGACGTCACGCACCTGGGGGGGGGGGGGTCAGACATTTGTGACGATGTGTGACGGGGGGGGGGTGAGGAATGTGACGTCACATCAAAATGCGCAACTTTAAATAAATATAGAATTGTTATAACAACACTAACTGTTATAACAACACTCCTACAACATCATAGTGCAGCGCCACAGTAAATACGCACTACAATGACGACAGTCTAAAGCGATTTGAAGCATGTTTTATTTAAAAAATGGAAATATGGTTGGGGGGGGGGGGGGCAGAGGTTTGTGACGTCATATTTGAGGGGGGGGGTCTGACTTTGTGACGCCGTGTGACGCGGGGGGGGGGGGGGGTCAAAAATCGTCCAAAATCGCGTGACGTCATTTATGGACGGTCCCGGAGCGGGTTCGCGCGTTGCGCTACGAACCCAGAAAACCCGAGTTCGATTCCCGCTCACGGCCAACACCAGTGACGATTATTATCTGAACCGGTCCTGGGCCTCCCCCAGGTCGACTCAGCCTCAACCTGGTGCGGTGTGTCATGAACATCGCCACTGGGGAGACAAAGGCGGCCGGGCGTGGTGCTGGCTACACGGGGGATCTTTGTCTTGTTGGTACTTGGTGATGGTGAATGCTATATAAGAATATTAATTACTGCAGTCACGAAAGCTTTAAATCAAAATTTAAAACGACCACCCTTCATTTCCCCGCTGGATAAGTTATCCCACAATTGTACAAGCGCGCGCACACACACACACAAACGTAAACACAGCGCTCGTCGTTATCATCTCACGGCGAAGTAACGCGACTCAATGGATCCACAGCACAATTCACAGTGGAGCGGCACGGTGGGCCAGCACCACGGCCGACCGCCTTTGTCTCCCCGGTGGCGATGTTTCCAACGCATCATTTTGAGTCGACCTAGACCCAGGAGCAGTTCAGGTAATCGCCGCTGGTGTTGGCTGGATGACCAGCATGGTGAAGTATGGTCAACCAAGCCTCATGACTCACACGGCGTGGGGAGGGCGGACGCTTTCATCCAGCAGTGGATGGCCAAAGTGGTCTGTAATGTTTTTTTTTATTACACATTCAAACTCGAATCTATTGGAATCTTAGATCAATAACAATCGATGCGAATCAATAACAGCAGATGCAAATACTTATTGACATCTCCACGGTGTTATCACGATATGTGTGCCACGCTTCCTTACGTCAGTGGTGAGCGCCTTGCTTCCATTTAGCTGTCCATGATAAGTCCGTGGGCAATGTCACTCGATGGGCAATGTTAGTCTTTGGGCAATGTAAGTCAATGGACAATGCAAGACTATGTGCAATGTTAGTCCTATGGGCAATGTTAGTCTATGGGTAATGTTAGTCTATGGGCATTGATAGTTCATGGGCAATGTTAGTCTATGGGCAATTTAAATATCTGGGCAATGTTACTATATGGGCAATGTTAGTCTGTGGGTAGTGTAAGTCAATTGGCAATGTTAGTCTATGGGCAATGTTAGTCTATGGTCAATGTTAGTCTATGGTCAATGTTAGTCTATGGGCAATGTTAGTCTATGGTCAATGTTAGTCTATGGGCAATGTTAGTCTATGGGCAATGATAGTTCATGGGCAATGTTAGTCTATGGGCAATATAAATATCTGGGCAATGTTACTATATGGGCAATGTTAGTCTGTGGGTAGTGTAAGTCAATTGGCAATGTTAGTCTATGGGCAATGTTAGTCTATGGTCAATGTTAGTCTATGGTCAATGTTAGTCTATGGGCAATGATAGTTCATGGGCAATGAAAGTCTATGGGCAATTTAAATCTATGGGCAATGTTAGTCTATGGGCAATTTAAATATCTGGGCAATGTTACTATATGGACAATGTTAGTCTGTGGGTAGTGTAAATCAATTGGCAATGTTAGTCTATGGGCAATGTTAGTCTATGGTCAATGTTAGTCTATGGGCAATGATAGTTCATGGGCAATGAAAGTCTATGGGCAATTTTAATCTATGGGCAATGCTAGTCTATGGGCAATTTAAATATCTGGGCAATGTTACTATATGGACAATGTTAGTCTGTGGGTAGTGTAAATCAATTGGCAATGTTAGTCTATGGGAAATGTTAGTCTATGGTCAATGTTAGTCTATGGGCAATGATAGTTCATGGGCAATGAAAGTCTATGGGCAATTTTAATCTATGGGCAATGCTAGTCTATGGGCAATTTAAATATCTGGGCAATGTTACTATATGGGCAATGTTAGTCTGTGGGTAGTGTAAATCAATTGGCAATGTTAGTCTATGGGCAATGTTAGTCTATGGTCAATGTTAGTCTATGGGCAATGTTAGTCTGTGGTCAGTGCTCATCAGAGATAAGATAAGAACAACTCCGCATCGAGTTTCAGACTCCACAGTTGCATCCGATCGTTCAAACCGCGTCTACGCCGAGACTTAATTCTCCGTCTTCCCCTCTGCTCCTATACTGTCCCCCATATACATTTCCCAGCTAAGACAGCATTTATATATATGTGTGTCCGCACGTTTGAATATTTTTAAAATAAAACTAATTCTCATTGCACGTTTCGCCGGCTAAAACACATACACACACACGCGTGCCGATGTTTATCGCTCTAAACATTTTTTTTGCGTGCGACTAACCGGTTTGACCCGGTTCCCCCCCACCCCTCCTCACCGATTATGCAACAAAAAACAACAACAAACCACGCGACTTCATGCGCGTCGAGTCAAAAATCCCTTCGCAATTTTTTTGCCCGTACACTTTTTTTTATCGACCAAAAAAGCCGAACGCCTCTCTCTGCCATTCGCCACCACGTGGTGGTGACGCGCGCCGCCCACGTGGCCTGTGTCATGCCAGGCCACGTGCACGCCGAGGCCACGCGAACCCCCTCGTCATCCTCGCAAGTGGCGCTTCTGTGGCCGTCTGGAACGCTCCTTCCTTGCGACATTAGGAAGCCACTGGGAGCTGTGGCACTTTTAAATCATCATCATCATCTAGATTGACAAACTAATTTCATTCGAACGCGCCACGCTTGCTGGCAGGAGGAGGGTTACTGGACCAACCCTGCAGGTGCCATTGGCGTTGACGGACCGAGAGCAAATATTATCCACAATAGAGGTGTATTTTTTTTTTGGGCCTGATCGCGTACATACAAATGCATACCCGTCAACCAGTACGGTTTAAGCCCGTGTTCTTGTACAGGTAAATGTAGTTTTTCAGGTCCATACGGAGAACCGCCGTTTCAATACGGGCAACAAGAAAATAATTGTGTCCATTTGTTTGTGTTTCTCCCCTGTGATGCGACTTTGTAGGATGAACGTTGAGATTTATAAGGGGTACGGGGTGACCAATACGGTCTTTAATTAGGTAGGGCACTGATAAGGGGTTGACAGGTAATGTCATCATCAAGCCATTGTCTGTGAGGTCTTCCTCTCCTTTTCTTAAAGGCCTCACATCTTCCTTAAAGGTCCTGCACCTCTTTGTCATCGGTCACCACCCCTTTCGTGAAATCCCCACCACTTTCTAAAAAAGGTCCTCCAGCTCTTTCTTCAAAGGCCCCGCAGCAATTTCTGCCCGCGAATTATTCCAAGCGTTCCGTGGTGGCAGTTTCAACAATATTACTATCGTCGTCGTCGTCATGGAAATGGCTCGGTGAGACGAAGGCCCCGCTTGCTCGGGATTATTGGGGTCCGTAGTTAACGCCCGAGAGTCCAGAGGGTACCAGCCTAAGGCACGTGCGAACATTCCCGACGGTTCGGTGCTATATAACACCTCAGGCCCATAAAATGCGAAGGGCACGCTTCGGCTGCAGAGGTTTCCAGATGGAAATAGCTGCGACTTCGTAGAGCCAGGCTCAGGCACGCAAACTACAGCTGCTAACTCTTAGGGCTCAGTGTTCGAGATTATAGATTCCATGCAGAGGTTGCGACGGGACGAGGAATAGGAATGGGCGATGGAGAAGAGGTGAGGATTTAAGAGAGGAACGGAAGGAGGTTATGGAGGTGGATTGCTAAGATGTACAGGGGAGTTGTTGAGTCTGTGGGTAGTGTTGACTCTATGGGTAACGGTATTGAGTCTATGAGCAGTGTTGAGTCTACGGGGAGTGTTGACTCTATGGGTAGCAGTGCTGAGTCTATGTACAGGGGAAGTTGATTCCAGTGGAAGGGTACAAGGAGGGAGAAAGATGATAAACATATTCCAGAATTGCCATATATATATTTCCACACCGAAAAACAATCATCATCATGATCATCCTTTATACACCGCGAAAAAAGTAATAAATTAAGTTTATGTATCTGCGCAAGTTGCACACCTACTTTGGAGATCGTAAAGTTTACATGTGAGAGAGGGCGTTGAGGGAATTGTAAACAGAAAGACTAAATACCCTGGATCACAGCTATCGTGGTTGTTGTGGTGGTGTTGTGGTTGTTGTCGTTGAAGTGGTTGCTGTGGTTGTTGTGGTTGTTGTTGTGTCGTTGTTGTTGTGGTTGTTGTTGTGGTGGTTGTTGTCGTTGAAGTGGTCGCTGTGGTTGTTGTTGTTGTGGTTGTTTTTGCGGTGGTTGTTGTTGTGCGTGCATATGCATGAGTGCGTGCGCGTGTTCACGAACCCGTCCGTGCGTACCCTTTCAGCGTCACCTCGCTGATCTCGTCAATTAGCTACATACTACGGACCGTCGGTCACGCGAACTCTCTCGTCATCCTCGCTAAGCGGCGACGACGGCTTCTGGCTAAGCCGTCGAACGAAGACGGCGATCACCGCATCGTCGCCACGCGGCGCTTCTGTGGCCGTCTGGAACGCTCCTTCCTTGCGACATTAGGAAGCCACTGGGAGCTGTGGCACTTTTAAATCATCATCATCTAGATCGACAAACTAATTTCATTTGAAATTATTGTTGTTGTGTTTAGTTTGTTGTCCTTCCCTCCCCCCGACACCTCCTATTAGCGCGGTTGGCCATGCACGGTGGTGAGAAAGAAGTTCAACATATTACGTAGGAAAAATCAGAAGAGGTTTACCCTTTCTGCCGATAAAACAGGAAGTATGTATTTGGTGTTTGAACCAAATAGATACCTACCACAAGGAATCAAGCACTGCATTAACCACACACAGTACTTGTGGTGAACATGCAAACGAACATGGCTCGGATAATTATATGGGCGTTGTCTTTGAAACTGATTGACCTACACCAGAGACAGCAGCCTTCTTGAGGGCCTAAGTCTCACCACCAGTGTCAGACCAGAGAACGCCAAAAGGCGAACAGCACAAAGACAATGCACGTGTATTATTGCATGTATAGCTCGGGGTGATCAGCTTGTGCCAGTATCAAAGCATGAAAAATAATAAAAATGTGTTTAGCCTCTCTGGCAATACAACGGGAGTTGTGTTAAGATGTTCAAACACCCCCTAAATAAATACCGAACGTCGTTTATATGACGGTCTTGCTCCCCGACAACGCAGCGGGAGGCAGTAGTCGGGTTCCCGAAGAACGTCGCGTTATTGAAACATGCCGTGGTAATAAATATATATGTAATGCAGGGGGTAAAGCACGGTCCGCGATAACGTGCATGAGATGCGTACACAGGGCCCAACGAAGATTGAGGACACGCGGTGGGTATCATCTAGAAGCATCCAGCAGCATCCCAATGTCTTTGTTGTGTGACGCTAGGTAGCATCTAGAAGCATCTAAAACGTGGGTACCGGGGGGAACGCGGGTTCTGGTGGGGAAACGTGGTTTCTGGTGGGGGAATGTGGGTTGTGGTGGGAACGTGGGTTCTGGAGGGGGAACGTGGGTTCTGGAGGATGAACGTGAGTTCTGGTGGGGGACGTGGGTTCTGGAGGGGGAACGTCGGTTCTGGAGGGGGAACGTGGGTTCTGGTGGGGGAACGTGGGTTCTGGTGGGGGAACGTGGGTTCTGGTGGGGGAACGTGGGTTCTGGTGGGGGAACGTGGATTCTGGTGGGGGAACGTGGGTTCTGGAGGGGGAACGTGTGTTCTGGTGGGGGAACGTGGGTTCTGGTGGGGGAACGTGGGTTCTGGAGGGGGAACGTAGGTTTCTGGTGGGGGGACGTGGGTTCTGGTGGGGGAACGTGGGTTCTGGAGGGAACGTGGGTTCTGGAGGGGGAACGTGGGTTCTGGAGGGGGAACGTGGGTTCTGGTGGGGGAACGTGGGTTCTGGAGGGGGAACGTGTGTTCTGGTGGGGGAACGTGGGTTCTGGTGGGGGAACGTGGGTTCTGGAGGGGGAACGTGGGTTCTGGTGGGGGAACGTGGGTTCTGGTGGGGGAACGTGGGTTCTGGAGGGAACGTGGGTTCTGGAGGGGGAACGTGGGTTCTGGAGGGGGAACGTGGGTTCTGGTGGGGGAACGTGGGTTCTGGAGGGGGAACGTGGGTTCTGGTGGGGGAACGTGGGTTCTGGTGGGGGAATGTGGGTTCTGGAGGGGGAACGTGGGTTCTGGTGGGGGAACGTGGGTTCTGGTGGGGGAACGTGGGTTATGGAGGGGGAACGTGGGTTCTGGAGGGAACATGGGTTCTGGAGGGGGAACGTGGGTTCTGGAGGGGGAACGTGGGTTCTGGTGGGGGAACGTGGGTTCTGGAGGGGGAACGTGGGTTCTGGTGGGGGAACGTGGGTTCTGGTGGGGGAACGTGGGTTCTGGAGGGGGAACGTGGGTTCTGGTGGGGGAACGTGGGTTCTGGTGGGGGAACGTGGGTTCTGGTGGGGGAACGTGGGTTCTGGTGGGGGAACGTGGGTTCTGGAGGGGGAACGTGGGTTATGAAGGGGGAACTTGGGTTCTGGCGGGGGAACGTGGGTTCTGGTGGGGGAACGTGGGTTCTGGAGGGGGAGCGTGGGTTATGAAGGGGGAACGTGGGTTCTGGAGGGGGAACGTGGGTTCTGGTGGGGGAACGTGGGTTCTGGAGGGGGAGCGTGGGTTATGAAGGGGGAACGTGGGTTCTGGTGGGGGAACGTGGGTTCTGGTGGGGGAACGTGGGTTCTGGAGGGGGAACGTGGGTTATGAAGGGGGAACTTGGGTTCTGGCGGGGGAACGTGGGTTCTGGTGGGGGAACGTGGGTTCTGGAGGGGGAGCGTGGGTTATGAAGGGGGAACGTGGGTTCTGGAGGGGGAACGTGGGTTCTGGTGGGGGAACGTGGGTTCTGGAGGGGGAGCGTGGGTTATGAAGGGGGAACGTGGGTTCTGGTGGGGGAACGTGGGTTCTGCGGGGGGATGGGGGTTCTGGAGGGAACCGCCGCCACCAACGCCGCACCATTACTGCTCCCCGCACGCGTTCACGTGCAGGCGGAGCACCCCACGGCTGTGCAGCCGCAGCAGCTCGGCGAACTCGCTGGGCATGGAGTGCACCGTCTTGGGCTGTTGGTCGTCGTAGTAGTGGTGGGGCAGCCGGCGGCCCGGCGGTCGGTCAACAGCGGTGGCCGTGGGGGCCACGGCGGTCTGCGCCCCCTTCTTCCTCTTCCTGCTCCTCTTGGGCGTCCTCCTCCTCTCGTCCTCCTTCACCTGCGCCGGGGTGGGCAGGTCGTGCACGAACGGCCAGAAGCCATAGACGTGCACCTCGTCGCACAGGTCCATTGCCACGCTCGTCTGGGGGGGAGGGGGTAGGGGCGGGTGGGAGATGTTTTGGGAGACACGGGGAGAATGTGGTAGCAGTGTGCGCATTCTATTTAAACTATTAAACCATTTTTAGCTGCTAATAATAATACGAATGTATAATGTGTATTCCATCTGAAGATCCCAATGCGTAAGGTACCACTGAGCTGCTATGTCGCTCTTCTTTCAGAATGACCTGGCTATCACGAATGATAGCTCAATGAAGTGGCTTATTATCATCATCATCAAATATTCTAAACGCGTGCTGTTGATTCTGAACGTGGAGGGGAAAAACCGGAGGACCCCGGAGAAAAATCCACGCCACCACGGAGAAGGAGAGAGATGCAACGACCTCCTGCATACCAGGCGAGGTAGTTAACATCTCCTCGCCACCGTGATGATGATGATGATGAGAGAGAGACACGCAAACTCCGAACATACAGCAGGCGTCAGGGTCGGGATCGAACCCACGTCCTCCTGTACACCAGGCGAGGTAGTTAACATCTCCTCGCCACCGTGATGATGATGATGATGAGAGAGAGAGACACGCAAACTCCAAACATACAGCAGGAGTCAAGGTTGGGATCAAACCCACATCTTCCTGTACACCAGGCGAGGTAGTTGACATCTCCTAGCCACCATGGTAGTGGACTCATAAAGAAATGCTCAGACTTACTTCGGAGGGAAGATGCAAGGGGAAGTTGGAAGACATGGGGAGACACAAGGATACACGGAGAGACACAGCGAGACACAGGGAGACACGGGGAGACACGGGGAGACACAGGGAGACACGGGGAGACAAGGGGAGACACAAGCCGAAGCTGCACCTTGACTCAAACCCAGTTCATCTCATCTCTTGATTGGTGCTTCAGTATTAACCGCTATCTGATTGTGCTCCCACCACACCTGCCCGTCTTGGCCCGTGGTCGATATTTTGATACGCGTCTTGATTTTATATGCGGCACATTAGGAATGGACCACTCTTTTAATTATTTTCTCGTACAGCAATGGAGTAAAGTGTGGTTTTGTGAAGGTCCTGATGTGCTGTGCAATACATCAATGCTCGTGTGTACACCAGCATGCGATACTGAGTCGGGCCTGCAGGTGGCTGGCAGGGTTATTGAGTAACCTGGACCTGTACACCAGTCACGTGGTTAATGGCGACTTGCTGTGTGTGTGTCGCACGTGCTGTTGCATTTTATAGGTAAAGGGCCCAAATGTTGCTTTTTATAGTTATAAAAATGTTCTAGTCTTTAAGCTTGGCTTTGAATTGGTAGTTTGTGATATATTCAATAGGAGAGAGTTTAGCACTGTACACTGTGAAGGATGATGTACTGTAGTTAATACTGGTAATTCTCTAACCCTAATCATGTTTATTCTATAACCATGCCCATGCACCCAGAGTATGACTACTTGCAATGCTAGTAGTCAGTTGTACATAAACAGTACATATACAGATAATGGGTGTAAGATACCAATATAAGTGAATGGTATAGATAGACATATAGCTTAGGATTAAAGTAATTTTCAAATAGTGAAGTGTAAAGGTTATGATTAAAGATAAAGCTGGTTTATCAGGAGTGGAATTGGGTTTAAGGGAAGCTGTTGTTGAGTAACCGACCTGTACACCAGTCACGTGGTTAATGGCGACTCGGTTGAGAATTTCTGTATGACACACGTGCTGTTGTATTTTACAGATTATCACAATTAATGTGTTTGCCCTCGATTTGGAGCACCTGCCCACGTCCTTCATTTCGAGTGTGCAAAATATAGGTAGGAGGACTACCTTCGTTTAATTTATACCATAACGTATTGCGATGCCCTCTCCAATTGGGGCGAGTTTTTTACGCATAAAGTAAATTGAATGCATTAAACGAAAAGGGAGAAGCGGGGAGACGCAGGGAGACACTTGGAGACACGGGAGGCAGTGGTGTAGACACGGGGAGACATGAGACACTGGGAGACACTAGAGACACGGGGAGACACTGGGAGACACGGGAGACAGGGAGGCAGAGGTGTAGACACTGGGAGTCACTGAGAGACATGGGAGACACCGGGAGACACGAGCAGACAGAGGTGTAGACACTGGGAGACACGGGGAGACACTGGGATAGACTGGGAGACACGGAAGTCACTGGGAGACACTGGAGACTGTTCCCGTGGTGCATCGTTACCATCATGAGGCCCGAAGTGAGGTGCGACTCCCTGACGCCGCGTTTCTTCCAGAAGCGGGAGATGGCCCTCATGTAGGAGGGGTTGAAGAAGGCCACGCGCTGCTGGGACTCAAAGTCGTCCAGGGTAAATATGGCCTGGGGGGGCGGGCGGGGAGGAAGGGGGGGGGCGGAAGGGGGGCGGGGGGGGGGTGTGAGGAATCGCTGCCGCGTGTGATCCCGTATGGACACGTGGTGCACAGGTGGACACTGGTGGACACGGGTGGATGTGAGCGGGCCCATTGTTACCCTGTACGCGAGCGATGTGTACGCAGACACGGAGAAGGCGGGGATGAGCAGGATGCTGGCGCCATACGAAGACATCTTCCTGATGAACTCCTTCCTGCTCCCGATCAGGGACTCGAATCTACATACACACACATGGGGTTACACACACACACGGGATTACACACACACGGGGTTACACACACACATGGGGTTACACACACACGGGGTTACACACACACACGGGGTACACACACACACACGGGGTTACACACACACGGGGTTACACACACACATGGGGTTACACACACACACGGGGTACACACACACACACACACGGGGTTACACACACACGGGGTTACACACACACATGGGGTTACACACACACACGGGGTTACACACACACACACGGGGTACACACACACGGGGTTACACACATATAAATGCACATGGATTACAAATAAAAATACAAAAATCCCCCATATAGCCTTAACAGACTGTTGGGGCAAGTGCAGTTAGCGAGCACCTATGAAAACCGGCACGGAACACAAGGGGATGGGTGGCTAACACCACGACCTTTGTGTTTACTACACACCACACCCAGGTACTCATTTGAGGCCGAGTCGACCTAGGGGAGAAGCCCAGGACCGGTTCAGATAACCGTCACCCCGAGTTGGTGGCGGCGAGCGTGGTCGGGGTTCTACAGACATCGTAGGGGCGGGGCGGGAGGCGGGGCGGGGGCCGCGGCCCAGGGCGGTCGGCCCCCGATTCGCTCGCCCACCTACCTCCTATTGGACGATTCTGCTTACGGCACAGAGGCCCTGGTTAAACAAAGCACAAATCAAATCCCTCCCCTCCCCCACCGACTTCGCATGTGAAGGAGCTCACAAGGGACGTCGTCACATCTAGCCCTCTATTGAAGGAACGGAAGAGGAGGGAGGATGTCTCCAAAAATCCGGCCGCGCCGCCTGATGAAGCCGGTTGTAATTGTTGGTGAAACGACAGACTCAGAGTTGTAAAAATTGTGGATTTGCTCTCCAACAAACCGGTGCGGCTGTACTTGTGACGAATTGGCCGCGTTCTGTTCGCTTGGCACTAAAACTGACTAATTGGATGTGTCGGGTGGTGGCGGGTTCAACGACACAACGTTTATATTCACGCGATCTAGCCCAAACAAAAACTATCATGAAAGACAAAGATACCCCCCGTGTGTAGCCTTTGAACGGGATTTTGGAGGCACGTGCTGTTAGTGAGTCGGCAATTGTGAAGGCTTGGTGGTGCGGGCACATTGTGCGGGTTGGTTGGGCCTTCAAAGCACCCGGGGCCGCCTTTGTCTCCCTAATGGCAACGTTTAGTACACACACGGCACACCAGTGTGCTCACTTGAGGCTGAGTCGACCATCGGCACGCGGGCTTGCTCGCTCGCTCGCTCACCGCTTGATGAAGATGGTCGGGTTGGAGGTGACGATGTCCGTTTTGCTTCCCACGTCGTCCTGGAAGTCGCCCCCCACGGGAGGTATGTTGCATCTGGTGGACAACGAAGGGGGTGAGCCACAACCCTGCCCACACGTCTATAGTCAACCCTGCCCACATGTCTAGAGTTCAACCCTTGCCCACACGTCTAGAGTCAACCCTGCCCACACGTCTAGAGTTCAACCCTTGCCCACACATCTAGAGTCAACCCTGCCCACACATCTAGAGTTCAACCCTTGCCCACACATCTAGAGTCAACCCTGCCCACACGTCTAGAGTTCAACCCTGCCCACACATCTAGAGTCAACCCTGCCCACACGTCTAGAGTTCAACCCTGCCCACGTGTTTAGAGTTCAACCCTGCCCACGCGTCTAGAGTCAACCCTTGCCCACACGTCTAGTGTCAACCCTGCCCACACGTCTAGAGTCAACCCTGCCCACACATCTAGAGCTCAACCCTGCCCACATGTCTAGAGTTCAACCCTGCCCACACGTCTATAGTCAACCCTGCCCACACGTCTAGCGCTCAACCCTGCCCACATATCTAGAGTTCAACCCTGCCCACGTGTCTAGACTTCAACCCTTGCCCACACGTCTATAGTCAACCCTGCCCACACGACTAGAGTTCAATCCTTGCCCACATATCTAGAGTTCAACCCTGCCCACACATCTAGAGTTCAACCCTTGCCCACATGTCTATAGTCAACCCTGCCCACACGACTAGAGTCAACCCTGCCCACACGACTAGAGTTCAACCCTGCCCACATGTCTATAGTCAACCCTGCCCACACGTCTATAGTCAACCCTGCCCACACGACTAGAGTCAACCCTGCCCACACGTCTATAGTCAACCCTGCCCACATGTCTAGAGTCAACCCTGCCCACACATCTAGAGTTCAACCCTGCCCACACGTCTAGAGTCAACCCTGCCCACACGTCTATAGTCAACCCTGCCCACACATCTATAGTCAACCCTGCCCACATGTCTATAGTCAACCCTGCCCACACGTCTAGAGTCAACCCTGCCCACACGTCTATAGTCAACTCTGCCCACACGACTAGAGTCAACCCTGCCCACACGTCTATAGTCAACCCTGCCCACACATCTAGAGTTCAACCCTGCCCACATTTATAGACACAATCACTCTCACACTCACTCTCACACTCCCTCTCACTCTCACTCCTCCCTCTCCCTAATCCTCTCCTCCCCCCCTCTCACCGGATCACGAAGTCGGCTGCGTCGATCTGGGAGCCGCAGGAGCTGTTGGCGAGGATCCCTCCGTTCCCCACGACGGCACAGCGAGGGTAGCGCCCACTCTGCTCGGGGAACTCCTGCAGCCACATCACCGTCATCATCATCATCATCGGCTATCATCATCATCAGCTATCATCGTCATCATCAGCCATCATTATCAGCCATCATCATCAGCCGCCAGTATTATAATCATCAACCACATCATCAGCAGCCATCATCATCAGCCATCACCATCATCATCAGCCATCATCAGCGGCAGCAGTCATCATCATTAGCTATCATCATGAGCCATCATCGTCAGTGATCACTCATCATCATTATCATCGTGATCAGCCATGCCGTAGGTTTGTAGCTGGCATAGCCATAGGTGGAGGTGGCACTGGGAGAGGGGTATCGGTTGGAGACCCATTCACCAGCTCTCTTCCCTGACGAGCGTTGGACGCACATTCGTGACAGATAGGCGGCTTCTGCAAAGAAGCTACTAACATAGCAGCTCAGTTGGACCTTCCTGTGTCCCAGTAACAAACAAAAAAATGTAGACTTAATAAAAAAAACACAGTCTAGTTTTAGTTTATTCATTTAGTTTTAGATGATTTGTTTACCTTTGCTGTACTCTGCACTCCGGTCGGTGTTTGGTATTGGTGGTTGTTGTAAATTTCTGACCCATCCCGACTAGACATCAGTGGCGAGATGTTGAACACCCTGCCCGGTGTACGGGAGGTCGTGGAATTGATCCCAACCCTGATGCCTGCTGTATATTTGGAGTTTGCGTGTCTCTCCCTGTGGTCGCGTGGATTTTTCTCCGTATCCTCCGGCTTTTCCCTCCACATTTTAGAAACGTGCGTTTACAGTATTAGGCTGATATTAATTTCCACGTGATGATGATGATGACGATCCCACTTCGTTGGGTTATCAATTGTGATAGTCAGGTCACACCTGAAAAGGAGCATTGTAGCGGCTCAGTGTGGCCTTACACCTGGCAACAATAAACAAAAAAATGTTTCAGTTTGTGAAACAGGGTTTCAAAGCTCTTCGGATTTCTCCAAGATAAATAAAACATTCTGATGTGGCTCAACCGAAAAACAAAACATGGATCTTTATATTTGATGACTGTCCTGCCTGCCCCGTAGTCTCACGGAGAGCGGTGGTGCAGCGGTTAGCGTGCTACGAACCCGGCGACCCGAGTTCGATTCCCACTGACGGCCACCAACCCCGGGTGTTGATAAATTGACCCGGCCCTGCCCCCACCCCACCACCCCCAGGGTCGCACCTTGAGGAAGAAATTTGTGACTTTGGCGTCCACCACGAGCGTCTTCCTGCTCTGGTCGAAGACGATGCTCGTGTTGATGGGCGAGTTGCTTCGCGTGATCACCACCTGGCTCGCTCCTCCCGTTGCGTTCGCGTGAGTCGACCTGTGACCAGAGCGATGGAGATGCAGAGAGAGAGAGACATCGGAGAGAGACATCGGAGAGACACCAGGGACAGGTGGAGACATAGAGAGACAGAGAGACATGAGAGAGACAACAGAGAGAGGAAGCAGAGAGAGATACAGGTAAAGAGATACATCAGAGAGAGACATGAGAGAGAGAGAGACAGTAGAGAGAGACATCGGAGAGAGACATCAGAGAGAGGTGTGGACATAGAGAGACGCAAAGTGGGAGACACAGAGAGAGGTGGAATCAGAGAAAGAGACAGAAAGAGACAAAGAGAGAGGCGGAGAGAGACATTAGAGAGAGAGAAACAGAACGACAGAGAGACAGAGAGAGAGAGACAGAGAAAGAGAGAGAAAGAGAGACAGAGAGAGATATACAGAGAGACATTGAGAGGGAAAGACAGAGACGGAGAGAGAGACAGAGAGAGAGAGGGAGAGAGACGGAGAGAGATGGAGACGTAGACTTTGACTTTTAAACAACTTTTATTGCCGCCAGCAGCAACAGCACTGGAGGCGATTTCGATACGAAATACACAAAGTCACCAACAACACAAATGAAAATAAACGCTATAAATCCACGCGCTGTGGCGCTAAAAGCACTGCGCACAAGACGAAAGAAAAGTCACGTGGTTGTGGTGGTCATCGCACACGCCAGAAGGTGAACATGAGCGTGATGCAGAGAGAGAGAGAGATACAGAGATGCATTGACAGGGAGACAGAGACGGAGATAGAGACGGAGAGAGAGATGGAGACAGAGAGACATAGAGACAGACAGTAAGAGACAAATAGAACGAAGCACAGAGAGACATAGAGAGACATTGACAGAGAAACTCAGAGACAGAGAGAGAGAAACGGAGACAGAGAGATGGAGACAGAGAGAAACAGACAGACAGCAAAAGTGCAGCGGCCTGTTGGTTGGAGCGTGGGACATGACCGAGTGTCCCGAGAAGGCAAAAGCCATCAATTGGAGCACAACATCGCTGCACCACCTGGGGGTGTTCCTCGGACCAGAGGAGGAACCACCGCGGAGGAACTGGGTCGAGCTGGAGAAGAAGGTGAAGGAGCGGCTGGGCACCTGGAGTCGCCTGTGCAAGTTCCTCACCTTCAGGATAAAGACGTTGGTGGTGAACCAGCTGGTGACGTCCATGCTGTGGCACCGACTCTTCTCCCTGCACCCCCCCCATGAGCCTCGTCAACGCACTTCAGAAGCGAGTCCTCGACTTCTTCTGGCCGGGTGGAGGACACCGGGTCGCGGCTGGGGTCCTGGCCCTGCCACTGGACGAGGGCGGTCACAGTTCCTGCACGCCGCCCCTGCACCGGCCTGGAGCATCACGGCCTCCTTCCTCCTGAAACAGCTGGGGGGTCTGCAGTGCTCCAAGCAACTATTCTACGTGGACCTGCAGGGCCTCCCACTGGGACAGCTGCCACCCTTCTACAGAAGCGTCCTGCAGACATGGAGCTCCCTCGCCATCAGGAGGCTGAACCAACCGCGATCAGCCAAGGATCTGGTCTTCGAACCGATCCTCAGGAACCCACAGACAAAGCTGCCATCCACCACCACCATCCCCGGCATGGAGAGGCGCCTCGCCAATGCGCGGCTCGCCAGGATGGGAGATCTGGTGGAGCCTGAAACACGGGGCCGGTGGCTCGGACCAGCAGACATGGCCGCAAAGACAGGGGGGCTGCAGTCGCTCCGGGTGGCTGCCCGGATCCTGGCCGAAGCCAAGGGGGCCTTCTCAGCGGCAGCGGGGAGAACGCCCCCCATCGGCGTTGGGGAGGACGAGGCCCCTCTCGGTCCCCCTCAACCGGAGCTCTCAGTTGTGCCACTGCATCGCCAATGAGGACAAACGAAGGCGGATCACAACCTGTGCCGGCTGGAAGACCTGCCGGAGGTGGCCTTCGCAAATGTAAAGAGGAAGGTGCTCTACTCCTACATGGTCCGGTTCCACCAACAGGACACCCTGAGGAGCCACAAGGACCATGCCTGGAGGAAAGCCCTGCCCTGCGTCTCTCCGGGGAGGCCTCGCTGGAGGCAACTCCACTCCAGCCCGACGTACAACCGCATCGGCGACCTCAGCTGGAGCATCGCCCACGGCACCGTCACCACCGACGCCTCCCCGGCGCGCTTCACCGACACGTCCCCGGAGTGCCGGTTCTGCGGTAAAGTGGAGACGGTGGCGCACCAATACGTGGAGTGCAAGAGCCTGGACTCGTTGTTCAAGGTCCTGAGAAACATCCTCCTAAGGTTCAGCCTCCACTTCTTCCCGACGGTCCTCATCTTTGGATACCTGAAGGGCGACGGACCCCAACATCTTCAGGGGCCGGTCAACGTGCTCGTCGGCCACGCCAAGCTCGCCATATACAGGGCGAGGAAGGTGGCCCTGGAGGGGCAACGTCCGGCCAGCAGCCTGGGCATCTTCCGCGCTCTGGTCGGAGCCAGGGTGTGGCCGGAGTTCCGCCGTGCGCGGCTGACCCACGCCGTGCCGGCCTTCAAGGAGCAGTGGGCGCTGGAGGAGGCCGTGTGCTCGGTGGCGGATGACGGAGAGCTCTGCATGCAGATCTGAGCTACCCGTCGGAGGCCGTTTGACTGTGGGAAGGGCTGCGTGCAGATGCAGCACTTGTCGTAGTTTAAAATATATATTTTGTTGGGTCTTTCATTTAAAAGGGGGGGTTACATAAAGCAAAGCATAAAAAAACGAAATGATGAACGAAGCAAAGTGCCGACTACACCGAGCATCTTCTTGTTTCCTCTGATCGTAAAAAAATTAAAAAAAATAAACAGACAGAGCAATGCAGAGAGATACAAAGATACATTGACAGGGAGACAGAGACGGAGATAGAGACGGAGAGACATAGAGACAGACAGCAAGAGACAAAGAGGACGAAGCACAGAGAGACACAGAGAGACATTGACAGAGAAACTCAGAGACAGAGAGAGGGAGAGAGAAACGGAGACAGAGAGATGGAGACAGAGAGAAACAGACAGACAGAGCAATGCAGAGAGAGATAGAGAGATACATTGACAGGGAGACAGAGACACAGAGAGAGATGGAAACAGCCGGAGAGATGGAGAGACAAGGAGAGAGACACAGCCACTTTAGCCAGCACTGGAGATGCCTGTGGTGGTGTCGTTGTGAGCCGCGTCACGTGGTGCCGTGGTTTGTTTGTGGGCCCTCTGGAGGCTCCGCTACCTGCAGCTCGCGTCCACGAGAGGGCGACTCCACGCCATGGAGTGGCCACGGGCGGGTGCCGTGACACTGCCCCACGGAGAGGTCAAGGGGATTTCTGTTGAAAGTTTTTTTAAAAAACTAAAACATTTATTTATTTTTTTACAATTTTTTTAACTGTATTTTTTAAATAAAATTTGTAACAGTTTTTTCTTCGCGATTTTGTTTTACAAATTTTTTAAGAGTTTTTGTTAACTATTTTTTAACGAAATTTTGACGTTTTTTTGACTATTTTTTCACTATAATAAAATTTTTTTTACTGTTTCTTTTTACTATTTTTAAACAAAATCAAATAATAATAAAATACGACGTTTCGGTTGCAACACAAGCAACCATCATCAGGTAAGAATGAATGATAAAACACAGACACGGAAACAACACAGGCAGACACACATGCAGAGAGACAAAAAGAGAGAGAGAGAGACACACAAAGACACACCGAGTGTCTGCCTAAGTTTTTTCGTACTATTTAGAAACACATTTTTTACAACTTTTTAAAAGTTTTTGTTACAATTTTTTTTACGTAAAAAAAATTATCTGTTTTGTAACTGTTTTTCTTACATTTTTGAAAGCTGTCTTTTTCAATTTTTTAAATGTTTTTTTAAAAACAAATTTCTGAAACTATTTTAAAATAATTTTTAAGGATTTTTTTCGCAATATTTTAGCAATTTATTTTTATGATATATCTTTTTTTACTATTTTAAATGAAAATATTCTTGGTTCTTTTGGTAAAGTCACATAGAAGGGAAACAATAAATTAATAAAAATATAAAAATTTACTTGCTGTGGTTTTCACACCTGATGATGATTGCTTGTGTTGCAGTCGAAACGTCGTGATAATTTTATTGTTTTATATTTTTATTATTTTATTGTTTCCCTTCTACGCGGTGACTTTACCGAAAGAACCAATAATAGGAATCCCTGCAGTCGCGAAAGCTTTAAATCAATATTTTAAAACAGTTCTTTAAACAATTTAAAAAATTTTAAAAAAGTTTTTTGTTTACTATTTTGAAACGATTTAAAACTATTTTTTAGAGCGATTTTTTGTTACCTTACCGGGTGTAAGGCCCCACTGAGCTGCTACGTCGCTCTTTTTGAGAAGCGATCAGGCCACCACAAATGATAGCTCCAAAAAAGTGGGCTTATCATCATCATCATCACGTGTGGAGATTTCTAGCAGCAGCCTAATTCTCCACACCGGTGGTTCTTAACCCGTGTGTTCACGCACCCCCTGGGAGTGTAAGCTGCAGGGGTGCAAGGTGCAGGCCGCTCGAAACGCACGTTTCTAAATGTGGATGGATAAAACCGGAGGACCTGGAGCAAAATCCACGCGACCACGGGGATAGAAAGAATGAGACACGCAAACTAGAAATCTACAGCAGCAGGCAGCATGGTTGGGATCGAACCCACGACCTCCTGTATTCCAGGCGAGGTAGTTAACATCTCCTAGCCACCGTGACGATGTTGAGAGAGAGAGACATGCAAACTCAAAATATACAGCAGCAGGCGTCAGGGTCGTGATCGAACCCACGACCTCCTGTATACCAGGCGAGGTAGTTAACATCTCCTAGCCACCGTGATGATGTTGAGAGAGAGAGACACGCAAACTCAAAATATACAGCAGCAGGCGTCAGGGTCATGATCGAACCCACGACCTCCTGTATACCAGGCGAGGTAGTTAACATCTCCTAGCCACCGTGATGATGATGAGAGAGAGAGAGACACGCAAACTCCAAATATACAGCAGCAGGCA